TATTTCTTTATTTCGCCCCCTCCCCGAATTTCCTATCCCTTCCCCTGTGCTCCGTTACTTAGTGGTCCTATTAATCATTCATTTATTTATTTTCTTTGATTTCCTTCTCAGTTACATTTTAGTGGATAAGCCTGACCGTGCTCTCTGCTTGCCCCTTTCCCGTTTTAATTTAGGATCCTCCTGGGGCTCCTTGGCAATGGTTCATGTTTCCTGGGGTCGTGTGGGGGTTTGCGTTTCATTGAACGCCGCCCCTTTCCTTGTTCACCTTGTTTATCATATTTGTATAAATTTGTATACCGCAACCGTAACAAACAGAATAATGATTATCCAATACAAGGTTCGGCAAGCAAGCAGAGAAATGTAAAGAAACAGAAAAAACTTATCCACATTCATGTATCCCCCCTCCAAAAACCCCACCAAAAACGCCTGAAACTGCCAAAATAGAAACATAAATACACAGGAGTGCCAAAGACGGCTCTGGTAGGTTCAAGTGCTCCCTTTCGCCAGTTTAAAACAGAATTTGATCACTTAAAACATAATAATGTTGAAATTTTTAATCAACATCCACAGTGTGTACAATGGGCCCCGAAATCATGGAACTTTTAAATGTGACCATTCGAGGGTCCCGTTAAAACGGGAACTAGAAAAACATGGAATTTTTAATGGGTATCAGGGGTTTTGTCCCTTTTCGACAGTCTTCCCTTTCTCCTTGTCATTTTATGCTATTCAACATTAAAAAAACGCCAAAAATTTCCGTTGCTGTGTTTTTATCTAACCCCGTAAAATTGTGTGAAAAAGGGTTTTTTATGGGACTGTCTAAAATTCCTTTTATGTTAAAATTTTAAAATTTTTTTTCCGGGTTTTTTAATTATTTTTGGTTGTTTTGAATTTTTCCCCAAAACAACCGCCCTAAATTTTCTTTTAAAGTATAACTAAAATTTTGAAAGTGTATATAAATGAATTTTTCTTTGTTCTCTTTTTAAAATTAAATTCATTAAGATGCCCACATTACATTGTTTTCGTATGTGGGAAAATTATGGGAGGGGTTTTAAAATAAAAAAGGGATTTAGAAATTTCACTAGATCCAGATGTTTTAAAAAACCCAAATTTTAAATCTAATTGACAAATTTTAAAAGGACTTAAATCAGTTGATTTAACGGACTCTAAACTATTTAAATTCTTAAAAAGTTATTAATTTTTTTACAAATTCTCTTTTTGGAAAAAATTTGGTGAAAAAAGAGTTTTCCCGCAAAAATTCATATAAAAAAACATAAAAAAATTGTATAAAAAAGCTTGGGGAAATCAATCGATTGCCGCCGAAAATGTGTTTTCCCATGGATTTTACCAGTGTTTTTCAATTTTTTCCTGCCCGTTTCCAAAAATCCCCCTTTCAATAATTTTCAAAGATTAAAAAATTAAAATGAAATTTTTGTTTGTTCGACTTTTTTGTATGATAATTGGACCCTTTCATTAAAAAAAATTCTCTTTCAGGTAATTAGCCCTTTCTTTGAAAAATTTTAGTTTCGTCCCAAAACTTCTTTGGGAAAACGTCGTGATAAAAAAGGAGTTCGTGGGTTGGATTGGAAAAGACGCGCCCCTCAAAATTTCTGGGTCTCTTTTACAAGTCTAATAGTTGATATGACTTAAAACAGTCTGTTGTGTGAAAAGGGGTTTCGGCCCCGAGATGTAATCAAAATTATCTTATTTTTAGTATCCCCCTTTTTGTTTTGCAAAAATGAAATCAGTCTTAATCATTTGAGTTTGTTTTTTTTCCAGCCAGGGAGTTTATTACAAATATCCTAGATTAAAAAGTATGAAAATATCATCACCATTAGAATCCTTATGATTCACTGATTAGAAACATTTCTCAGAAATTATTTCATGCTTTCCAGTGTTTTATTGTAATATATCAGATGATTATATTCTGATAAACCACTAGTGAAATTTATAAAATATAATTTTCACTGTAGCCGGACTATATTTGAATGCGGATGAAAAGAAAATCATAACTAAATGGAATAACAGGCAGAAATAAATGCCGTCATACGTAAATTTTGCTTCTTTAGGAAAAGAAAGTCGATGTCACCATACATCATGTTTAAAATGTAATAAAATTAGAGAAATCTAACAGAACTATATTTCAAAATTGATGATGTGACGTCATGATGTGATGACGTCACAAAGGAGAATGCGCGACGTTACGCGGCAAAATCAGTAAAAAATACTTAAAATCACTTAAAAAGCATGAAATAAAAAGAAAATTTATTTGTTTTACATATAAGATTGAAATATATTTCATTCGTGAACACCAGCTATTATATTTTCACTCGTGGCTACGCCACTCGTGAAAATATTGCATCTGGTGTTCACTCAGTGAAATTATATTTCAATCTTACATGCAAAACAAACAAATATCCTCTATCTATTAAACGGGGAATAAACCCTCAGATTTGTGAGGTTAAATCTTTAATAATTTAAAAGTAACATTATAAGAGAATACAACTAGTTAGTTTTACTTTTAAGAATATTGAAAAAGGGTTTTGCAGCACTCTACAATTTCAGTATTAAAAAAATGACAGTGCTTTAAATTCAAACAGTAATCAAATTGTATTAACAAAGTCGTGGTAAACTCTATAATTTTATATAAATAGGAAGGACCTAATACGTTACGCTTCCGAATTATTGTACTCGTATCACGGGACATGGTGATATCAATAGGCCTAGTTGAATCACGTTGAATCATTTCAACAGAAACAGATAACTTTGTTCATTGAAATTACAAATACAGTTTCTTGTAAAACTGTATATTTTATTTAAAAAAAAACAACAATGATTTTGAATAATACGGGATCTTTAAATCTAGTCAACAGCTCCCTGTCCATCATAAAGATGATAGTATTGCCCATCTAGGAGGGGTTGTCAGTTTGAGTCTGGACAAAGTATTGACAAATTGTGAAATAATTTCTAAGAAGATTGCGAGAGTTTCTGATTGGTACAAGTGTTTCTCAATCACAAATATACTTATAAATAAAATATTAAGAAATAATGGTGAAATAAAATGCGTATTTTTATTTTCCGTATTTACACTGTAAAAGAAATATTTTTCACTGCAATGAATCATATTTTCCGTATTCTCACTGGTGTCTTGCCGGACTATACTTTCTTCTAAATTCAGCCAATACACAAAATTAAAAGGGAATCATTCCTTATACACTGTCGTGGCCACGAGTTACTTAGTCGTGGCCACGAGATAGTTAAGTCGTGGGAACGAGATACTATGTCGTGTCCACGAGTTACTAAGTCATGGCCACGAGATACTATGTCTAGGCCACATCTACATCTACATCGTACGTCGGCGCAATCACACTTGATTATAACGCGACGGGTGGTGCTAGGTCAAGAAAAAGAAATATACAAGAAATGATAGAAAGTTAGAAGAGGTTGGATAGGTCAAAAGGAAGAGATATAGACAAAAAGTCTGGCCAGCTACATTTCGCCTCTTCAACCCAAACCTCTCAGGTTACGGTGGCCGCGGCCTGCACAGCCTTGGATATCACTAGTGGGTACTTGTAGCTGGGCCCCTAAGGCGGATTAGAATGTGAGGGCTGATAGCCCCTGCTTGAAGGATACCAAGTCAGGGGCCTCTGCAACGGAGGCAGGTAGGCTGTTCCAGGTTGTGGCTGTACGAGGGAAGAAGGAGTTCTTGTAGTACGATGTAGATGTGGATGGTAGATGGAACTTCTTGGAGTGGTCACTTCTAGTGCGGCTCGGGGCAGGGGTGAGATAATCTCTGACTGGTATGTTCACAAGGTCATTGGTGATCTTGAACATCATGGTCCGCTGGGCTTTGGTTCGCCGTGACTCTAATGTCTCCCACCCCAAGTGTTGGATCATGGAGGATACGCTGCTGGTGTTGTGGTAACGGTTCGTCACATATCTTGCAGCTCTCCTCTGGACCATCTCGAGCTTGCGTGTAAGGTCCTTGGTATAAGGGTTCCAGACGGTGGAGCAATATTCAAGGCCTGGTCGCACTAGTGACATGTAGGCTGTGCTCTTGACCTGTTCGTTGCTGCTGCGCAGGTTGCGTCGAAAGAAGCCGAGTGTACTGTCGCCCTTCTTCACAATCTTGTCAACATGTTGGTTCCAGGAGAGGTTTCCAGACATATGGACTCCGAGGTACTTGGTTGTCGAGTCTATCTCGAGTGTGTGGCCTTTCAAGGAGTACGGGTATATGATGGGGTTCCTCTTCCCGTGGACCCTGATTATGCTGCACTTCTCTGGGTGGAAACTCATGCCCCAGCGTTTCTCCCATAATGCCAGCTTCTTCAGGTCATCCTATAAAATGTGGCAGTCCTCTAGCTTCAGTAGCGATTTCCCGGTATACCACACAGTCGTCAGCAAAGAGCCTGGCCTTGGACGTGACATGAAGTGGCAGGTCATTGATGAAGACCAGGAAGAGTATGGGTCAGAGCACGCTTCCCTGGGGGACTCCGCTGATAACGGGGGCTGGGTCGAACGTTGCTCCATCAACAACTACGCGCTGAGTGCGGCCTGCGAGATACTATGTCGTGGCCACGAGTTACTAAGCCAATTTTTTCAATAAGAAATGATTGCATATATTCTAATGATTACATATAATGCCTATAAACATTTGCAGTACATATTTTACATATCCTTCTATGTTTGAAAATCGTTTTAGAAACATAATTATATACATAAAATTATATATATAATATTTCACATAAGTTTGGTTACATATATAGGCCTACAGTACAGGATCTTTAAAGTTTTTTTCGTCCTGATATTTACTTGGGTCCATATATGTACCAGATATGTGTGGCATATACATGTATATGTCCTTGTCATAAAAGTATTGCTACGAAAAAATCGCCGGATCATTAAATGGAAAATCAATAGTGCCTTCTGTCCTAAACGCTCTCAATAACATTTAGTTCTACACAACCTAAAAGTAAATTTGTGTGTGATGTAAGCGACTTGAAACATTGCACAAGGTAAGGAAATCGTCAAAATTGGGCCTATATATAGATTGAAAAACGGATAATTAGCCATTCGTAGTGTAAAACTTAAACCAGTATGTTCAAGTGTTATTTATTTGACTAGGTACATCTGTGTTGGATATATTTGTAATCGTCATACGTTTTCGCGATACTCGACTATTTTTTTCTATCTTCTAATTGTCAGAATGCAAATCTTCCTTTTGTAGAGGACGTCAGGGATTACGATAATTGACATTTAGCGTTGCAAAGTTTTGGGAATAAAAATAAATCAAAATTTAACTTGTATTTGTTTTCGTATGTTACAAAGATGATCGGGAGTTGGGGAGTCGGACCCTGACCCATCCTTGATCAGCCTTTGTTATTTCTCAGAAACTTAATAGACATCTGTCTGAGTAATAAACTTGTTTTTATTCCATTTTCACATTGATTAAAATATCTTACATGTACCATCAAGTCTAAAATAAAAAAGGAAGTGGCTAGCTGTACAGGCACGTACGGCTAGCCAAAAGTTCTAGCCATACGTGAGTCAGGTAAGACAAGCCAGGACACACTGTATTGTCTTGCTGTACAGCACTTTTCAAAATTATATGGTAGTCAAAAATGGTTGTTATTTTGTGTCTTTAAACGAGGATTGTAACAAAGTCTCTGCATTTGTCCTAGTGTGTTCACTTTAATAAAGATACTCGCCATTTTGTATTGTTATAAGTTATAACGTCATTGTTTTACATGCTTGTGACTTATTGTTTTACTTTTATTTGTATCAAACATGAATGATTAAATCATTTTTTTTGTTAATTAATCACATGGATCAACGGCAAAAGAAGCTTTTTTCATAACAGCATGATAGGAGTGGAATTAATAAACAAATAAAAAGAACATTGGAAAAAAAATGGTGAAAAGCAAATACATACATGAGATAAATATTGAACATAAAAGCACAATCAATTGATTAGCTTGAATTAAAGCCTATCCAGGGACTCACAATAGAATTTTAGAATGTGTTTCATGGAACATGCAAATTTTCCTTAATGATGGACAAACTTCTATACTGTCGGTAATTTACGCACTTATCAGTCAGTGGCTCACATTATGTGACATACAGCAAGAACTTTTATTAAATTTATCATGATACCACATGTCGGTAAAAAAGCTATATATATACTGTATAGCTTATATTTTGTGGAATGTTAATATGAATACCAACAATAAATAAGTTTTGATTTGATTTCATACCTTAATTTAAATTATCATTTTGATATCAAAATTACATGTAGATTTTGCCTCTTGTCTGTACAATATGAGAAGAGTTCAGGGCATTGTACAGTGTGTTTATTGAACCCAAACAGAGATGATGTAAAGCAGGAGTCTCAACTTTGAAAGTGAAACAACTGTTACATGCAAAAGTAAAGCCTGGAACTCTTAGTTTATACAAATTTATTTTAGTTCCATTGGAACTCTTCATATATTGTGTGACAAGAATATGATTCGGAGTTTGCAATATTTACTATACAGAGACTTGATGGTAACTTGGATATTTTTGTTTCTCTGGAAATGGTTTCAAAACAAGTTTTATGATTGAAATTGATTATTCCAATAGAGACATATTTGTTGGGGGACAGGGTCTGACCCCTCAAGTGCAGAATGATATAAAGTTATTATTTATGTGCATAGCTTTAAAATAACCTTTTTTAATTACTCATTTTCATAAATATAATTGTGCCATAGTCAACGTTACTAATTCTGCACCATCACTAAAATAACGGTAATGGCTTTTGTCAATGTGACCATTGTTTAAAATGGTCATAATTGATCTATGATATTTGTACTCTTTCAACCAATGTATTTTAAATCTGTAAGTGTATTAGTGAAATAGAATAATATTTTACACATTTCGGGGGTGGGGTGGGGAGGCGTGATGTTCTGCTAAAATTGTCTTAAAAAACAACCTTCATTTTGTAGTGAAAAAATTAGTTTAACAAACATATAGCTGGAAATATTTAACTAAAACTATAAATTTTAGTAATTTCCATCAAAACATGAAAAAGAAGATAAAAACATTAAACGCAATTTAAATGATTTAATGTTCTGAAAATGTCCGACCTATGGTCTATGTCTGACCTATTGTTATTTCTTTGTGTCCAATCGCAGAAAATACTTAAAAGTTACAGCTGATAACAATTATTTGCACAGTAAATTCATTGCTTTTCTTTCATGTTTCATAGTGTAAAGCACTACAAATTAAGAGGAACACTGTAAACTGCAAAATATTTTGAGACAAAATATCGCTGTTTAATTAGAAATTCAAGGTTATGTTAATTTTTTCTTCCCATTATTTTGACAGTTTTAAAAGATGGATTCATTCTTTTTTAACCTTTATTAGGATACTGGAGTCTGTTTCAGTATCTGACTTTATTTTTCACACCAAAAAAACTTTATATTTGCCATGCAGTGATTTTCCAGCTTATATAACAAGTCCTCTTCCCACCTACTTAATGGAACTTGGAAAAGTCCATTTAAGGGTAAAGTCAGCATTCTTATCTGAGATGACAAGTGTCAACAACTATATATGAGCCGCGTCATGACAAAACCAACATAATGGGATTGCGACCAGCATGGATCCAGACCAGCCTGCGCATCCGCGCAGTCTGATCAGGATCCATGCTGTTCACTTACCAACTCTATTACAAGTAGAGAAACTGAAAGCGAACAGCATGGATCCTGATCAGACTGCTCGGATGCGCAGGCTGGTCTGGATCCATGCTGGTCGCAAACGCACTATGTTGGTTTTGTCATGACGCGGCTCATATAGTTTAATTCTAATAAGAATGTGTATCATCATTGTGGCTCAGTTGGTAAATCAACATCACTACCTAAACATGATTCAAACATGTAAATGCATTATTACAACACTAACAGGGAGGCTGTGTCAAATCCCCTGTCAAGGTACATGATAACAATAATGATGTTTTAAGTTGTTTTTTTTATTAGGCTTCAGTCAGCTTTACCTATTATACTAAATAGGCTATTTTGTGCATTGTTATAAATCTTTTTTATGTAAACAAAGGGTCAAGTTATCAAACTAGGACAGTATATAAATAACACATGGGTTTGTAGGAAACGGTAGAAATATCATTTCTCGTAAAAATGAGGAATGATATTTTTACTGTTACTCACAAACCCATGTGTTATTTATTTTATTACCCAGAACAAATACTGTAACCTATAATAGAATCTACTTATTTATTAAGGAAAAGACAACACAACATGATCAGATTTCATACTGTTAGAAAGTACTGTTACCCTATAACTGTACAAATTTCTTAGTCACACGATACAATTGTTTTAACAATAAAGGCCTCAACAGACAGTAGGATTTTGAAGTACAACACCAATTAAAACTAAGATGTACAGACAAATCTTAATGTGTGAAGGCTACTATTTCTTGATTTCGGAAACCTTAAGTCTAGATGTAAAGAATAGGACATGTTCTTTTTTGAAAATCTTGTCGTACAGATTTTTACAGACCTCCCACAATGACAACTAACAGATAACCAAATTATCTCCTGATAATGGGTTTAATAAATGAAATTCCAGAACAATTAGGGCTAAAAGGTAAACATAGTAGTAAGATGGGGTAAAAATGATGTTGAAAAACTCTTCAGGAGACTCAACGTTGTGTTATGTTCGAATCCCAAATTTTTCCGAAAATGATTATGTGACGGTATTGAACTGTTCTCTAATTAGGGGAGTGGAGGTAGTCTGTAGGCAGCCGGATAGCTTAGTCAGTAGAGCCGCAGTACGGTATTCCGAGGGTCCCAGGTTTGAGTCTCGGTCAGGCTTCACATTAAAAAATATATATATATTTATTTAAATGGAGGTGTTTCAATCATTACTCATGGCATAAAATGTATTTAGTGAGTAAAGAATTTAAAGGATCAATGTAAAGGGATCCTTTTTAGGGGAAACCTCAGATGATTCTTACAGTGTAGAATTACCATCTGAATGCAAGTGTTGTATAGCTTTGAAAATTGTACATCTTATCTCTAATTTAAGTGCTGTACAACTAAATCCTACCGTCTGTTGAGGCCTTAAGAGAACCTAAATGTATTGTGTATGAGGTAACTGTACATTTAGGTTCTCATTGACCACCATATGGTGGCCTACTTTTGCCTAAAAACTTGTATCTTTGGCTAATAGTCTAAGTAAAATGCATGGTGGTCAATTACCACCACTTTATGCTTTGTAATTAACCCTTTAAGACACATCCAGGGTTTATCCTTGTGTGAAAGAAAGCTTGTATATTTGGCATGTTGCATTGCTTAATTGCCCTGTAACTGTGTCACTCTTGTTTCATTGATCATTGACTTTTATAGGAAACCTATGTTTTAAGAAACACAGGATTTTTTCCAGGATTTTGGGAACATGACCCATACCCATGGAATTGGGAATTTCAGAGATGTTTTGATGAAAATTGGGGAAAATCCTAAAATGCATGACTAAAGTTTTGCAGTGATTAAATGAATGCAAACAGTGACTGTCTAGGATGGCATTTTCAAACATTTAAGCACTATAACAGTGTAAAGATGTAAAAAAAAATTATTCAATATTTCGTAACTTTCAATTGGGAATTTTTTCCTGTGGATTGGGAAAATAATATACTATAATATATTTTTTCAATTTGTAATATCAGCCATAAAATAAGCCAAAAATTATCCCTGAAATGACAATGCCCTTATCTGACTGGTAGAAATTTCATGGTTTCTTTTAATGTAAAGTTTATGATGAGTAATGAATGTGAGGTTAGAATTAGAGATAATGTATGTGTAAGATTAATAAATGTCATCTTAAACCTTCGCTTATCATGATTTATTGAATTCAACACACAAGCATGTGACATTTAAATGCATTATTAAACAATTGTTGAGCTATATTATCAACAGAATAGCTGTACATTCAATAACAAAAATATTTTAATAACTTCAGATTGCTTCTGTTATGTCATACTTTGACAGATACATGTGTCATTGGAAATAATAAACAAAACCTTATAAATAAAATCTACATCCTTTCATTTAAAGGGACTGCTCTAAGGTTTCTTGACTTAAAAGGGCTGGTAATGATTTTTGAGATTAATGTTCTATTTGACGTAGGTCTAGACCAATAACTTAAGGTAGACCATGGGTAATGCATTACCTCCACTTTGAAGAGTATTCAAATAGGCTAGAATCGCTTGTAAACTACATTGAAATTGAGGGGCGTGGGTTCAAACCCCAGAAGGGGCAACTTTTTTTTTCTTTCTTTTTTTCTTTTTAACATTATTTATGTATCTCTCTGATCCCTTATGGAAGAAAAAAAGTTTGATTTAAATTATATAATTATTTTAGGTATTTTTTTTGCTAAATAATGCCAAAATTTATAGCAAATATGATACCAGATATTTTCAAAGTTCGATAAAATAAAAACTACACGGTAAAAGTATTTTATATTTCGCATGATCAACTAATATACCTTTGAGAAAATTTAGGCAAACTTTGAAAACAGACCCTCATTTCGATAAATTTTAGGGATATTTTGAATAAGGCATTTTAGATAGGGAAATGGTAAAATTAGTGTTAAAAGTGGGTGGGGTAGGGTAACATTTTTATACGTATTAAGAACATTTTGTTTAGAAACAAACATTTTGCTTGTGTAATGTGTTACCTGAATGTTATTATTTGTTTCTTAATAATGAGCAATAGAAAAACATTTTTTATAATGATTATATTACAGATTATTTACAGTTTCCTCATTTCTGAAAATAAGCCCTTCTAAGGGCAAAATCTTAGTTCAGAAATATATCCATAACTCATAAACCACACGGTAAATTTTATTTAAATTTTGCATACAGGTGACCTTGAAGACATATAACTGTCCTATGTTGTCAATTTTACAGTTCCTTATGGTGCCCATTACCCATGGTCTACCTTAAGTGCAAACTTGCAGATCATATTACACTCACTCTGTTTTTCCAGAAAGATGATTTTTATTTGTGAAAAATGATCAGAAATTGAAAAGTAATGCAATGCTTTTCTTTCACTCATATCAGGCTAAAATAGCACAAAAATTTGATTTTCAATTTATTTTGAGTATATTTTTAAATATCTTTTGAATACCTTTCTGTGTTAAGAGCCCCAGTGCCCATATGTAAGAAATTCAAATTTTATGTTTTTAGGCTTTTTGACCACAGTGGAGTTCCTTTAAAGAAGAAAAAAGAACATTGTCATTAATTATCATATCAGTTTAATATGAGTTTATGTTTATAAACATGAGAAATATTTTGCATGCACTTTAATTTTCAGTTTGTTTTAAAAATATGAAGGTGTCATAATTTTAAAAGTGATCAAGATTGGTGTTTTTCAGTTGTAAATGATATTGTAAATGAGTATCAACGTCAGACGGCAATGTTATTCTGTAATGGTTATCAGCTTGTGACTTTGTTTGTTGATGGATTTTTTTTAAGAGAAGTACCTTACACTTAATCTCTTATAATGAACTTTAATAAGAAAATTTCATTTAAAAGAATGGTAATTATTATTGCGCTATTATTATTTTTTATTAATATTCCTGTCTGGGAAAGACCTTATCTTGTGTTGTGAGAACTTGTTTGCCCAACCCATTTGTTTTACTATATACTTCCTTCGTGTGACTGAGGGGTTGCTTTCAAAAAGGGTTGTGGAATCAGAATTGCAGCCACCATTTATCTCTGCATGATTGTAAGAGGCAACTAAATGGGTTTGAATTACGGTAAAATCTATTAGCTCCAATAGGTGAGGTGGTTTTGACCCCTGGCGTTGCTCAAAGTTTGTAACATCCAAGGTTAGCCTGTTTCTGCGCCATGTGACCCCAATTGTGCTGGTGCACCGTAAAACCATACTAAAAAAACAAATTTACTATATACTATCATTAATATATGATTTTTCATGTATGTGATGCAATAAAAAAAGTACTTAAGTACTAGAGCTCTGCATTAAATCTTTTTTTTTCTTATTGTTATAAGGATATTATTTTTATTTTTTTGCCTAACCATAACTTGTATTTCCTTGTGTCATCACAAGCTGTGTTTTTTAAGCATATTTCCTTTTAAATGACCTAGTTTATGTACTAGTAATACACTAACTTAATCCACACTTACTAGAAATAAGATCAGTACTATATTATGACATTATTAATCAGTATGTTTTGAGAGTGTGGGAGGGGAGGGGTAATGTAAGGGATATAATTTTGCAGAACAACAATAGCAGTTGTTGTTTTCCTTGTTTCTGGTCCTTTTAAACAAATAACTAATGAGTTATTCAGTTAAATTCAAAGAGGCAAGTTGAACATAGTTAAATTTTAAGATAATAATAATATTAAGTATAGTGACATTATGCTTATTATTTTTTTCGTTGCCAAGTTGAGCTGAATTAGTAATATATTTCAAAAGGTTGAATGATACTTATGGTGATTGACCAAGATTTGATATTGAAAAACGTTTAGGATAAAACTATCTAAATTATAAAGGATTGCCACATTCTTTTTAAAAATTGAATGCTTTTGATACATTCCGAATAATATTTATATTTATAGAATAAAAGAGATTTTTAAGTGATACAAAGTGGGAACTTTATTTATAAGATAATTTTGCACTTTGTATTTTATAGTCTGTACATAAGGTCAAATAACAACTACTCAAATATATTGATAATTGTTTCACACTGTACTGTGTACTATTATTTAATGACTGTACTTTATCATTCTTTTTATTCTGTTTCAGAACAAAGTTCTACAATTCAGGAAGAACTAATGACAATTGATGTTATAATTATGTGGTGAATATATACACATTCAACAGAATGTCTGAATACGAGCAGATATTGCGGCAGTTAGGATCGTTCGGTCCTTACCAGCGTCGTGCATTTATCTTGGTGAGCATGTTTGAGACACCTTTAGCATGGGCAATGTTGACACCTATATTATTGAACTACAGACCAGACTGGTATTGTACAGATTGGAACATACTGCAAAATGGGTAAATATTTAATTCTGACAATAGTAATTAAAACAACTTTTAACTTGAGATTTGTTTATACTTATAGTGAGGCATGCATTGTTGTTATAACATTATCTTTTCACAACACAATACATGTATATAAATTTCGATGATTAGCTTTATTTTAGTACTTTATAAAAAACAAACCAATGAGTGTCACAATTTTAAGCTAAAAAAGAAAATGTGATCAAGTTTTATAATCTATATAATGACCCTATACAATTACAAAATTTTACAAATTGTTTTGTGTAATTTATTTTGTTATAATTTAGAATAATAGCTGAAAACTACACGGGTATTGACCCATCACTTGTGCGGGAGATTGACAGTAATGATGAACTGCAAATGTTTCTACATCTAGTTAATTACACGGGAGGAAATTTAACCAGTTATAAGACCAAAAACACATGTCCTGGTGGTAAAATATGTCCTGGCATTGAATTTGAAGGAGTAAAGTCCATAGTTTCCACTGTAAGTATAATGAATGTTTGTTATGACATTTATACCCTCATGATGATGACAAGGTCTTCCTTTAAATGCACTTGCCTTGGAAATCATCGTTTTTTAATTCTTTATGAAGGTCAAATATGTGTTTAATAAATCATACTTCAATAATGTATTTAGAACGAAATTGCTAGAAGTAAAATAACCGAAGAAAGTAGGATGGGGTGTAAAGTAATGTGTCGTTAAGATAAGAAAATGTAAACAAAGTAGTGTCATGACTCCCATACAAAATACCATTTCACCATGATTATTTCAATTGCCAAACTTCAGCCAAAGAGCAAAAAAAAATACAACAATGTATATAAAAAGCTAGGTCATCAATATGGCCAATGATTAACTTTTTAGAAATTGTATCATTGTATATTATTTTATTAAGAAGTAAGTGCTAGATATTAGGAATCATAGATAAGACCATGTCTTTGAAAAGAAGTGCTTAAAATTAATGAAGAGCAAAGCAAAGTTCTCTCCCTTTAATACATTTTGGTGCAGATATTAGTCAGTTAAATTATTATCTGAAATTTCATCAGTAAATTGTTATGTTTATATTTGTTACAGTGGAAGCTAGTATGTGACCAGGAAATTGTTGGAGATATCATCACATCTATACAGATGGCAGGTGTTTTAATTGGTGCTGTAATTACTGGACAACTGGCTGACTTGTTTGGCCGACGACATATTCTGTTTATAGAACATGCCATCCTTGTTATCATGTGGTTTTGTAGTGCCTTTGCTTCAAGTTGGATGGTTTATGCTGGTCTTAGGTTTATAATTGGTGCTTTAATTGGAGGTAAGTGGGTTTGGTTATGATTAAAACATAGATTTATGTAAGTTTTGTTAAGATTCAGAAATAATCCACGTCTACTCTAGACTTAAGATAAATAATTGTTCTTTGTCATTACTCACATCATGCATGACAAGGTTCATAACTCTAGCATCTTTTTTGAAGAGTTTTTCCTCTTTGAACTTATAATTTAATTTTTAAAATTTCAAATTCTTTTTGCTCTTATCATTTTTGTGTCGCCTCTACGGAGTAGTGGCGACATATAGGGATCACTTCTCCGTCGTCTGTCTGTCCGTCTGTCTGTCTGTCTGTCTGTCCGTCTGTCCGTCCGTCCGTCACAAAACTTGTCCGGACTACTCCTCATAAACTACTGGTGCAATTTCATCCAAACTTTACAGGAATGATCAGTACCAAGTCTAGTTGTGCATATTGTCAGGATTTTCCGGTTCAATGATTTTTGTCAGAGTTATGGCCCTTTAATAATTTTTAATTTTAAAGTTTGTCCGGACTACTTCTCTTATACCACTAATGCAATTTCAATGAAACTTTACAGGATTGATCTGTAGCTCAAGTCCTTGCGCATATTGCACGGGTTTTCCGGTTGAATGATTTTTGGCCGAGTTATGGCCCTTTGATAAAAAGGTTTCTTTTTCTGTGTGTTGCCAGATACACAAAAGCTTGTCCGGACTACTCCTCATAAACTACTGGTGCAATTTCATCCAAACTTTACACGAGTGATCAGTACCAAGTCTAGTTGTGCATATTGTCAGCATTTTCCGGTTCAATGATTTTTGTTTGAGTTATGGCCCTTTAAAAATTTTTATTTTTAAAGTTTGTCCAGACTACTTCTCTTATACCACTTATGCAATTTCAATGAAACTTTACAGGATTGATCTGTAGCTCAAGTACTTGCGCATATTGCACGGGTTTTCCGGTTGAATGATTTTTGGCCGAGTTATGGCCCTTTGATAAAAAGGTGTTTTTTTCTGTGTGTTGCCAGATACGCAAAAGCTTGTCCAGACTACTCCTCATAAACTACTGGTGCAATTTTATCCAAACTTTACAGGAATGATCAGTACAAAGTGGTTAGTCTAGTTGTGCACTGTCCGTCTGTCTGTCCGTCTGTCACAAAATTTGTCCCAACATGAAATTGGCCATCATGAGGCGACACATGTGATTACTGATCGCTCTTGTTGTTTTTGAAGGGATTGACGTCAAATTTCAAATTACAGATCATAATTGATTTTTCTTTCATAGTTTTGTCTCTCTTACTGCGTCCAGTATTTAATTAGTCGAGCTTTGCTGTCTCTAGTTGTATGCAATGTTATGTATAATGAAAATGTGAAAAATCAGGAAATGTTTGCCTCATAACAAATATTAAATATTTTTCATATAGGAAATTGACACATCTTAATTGGTTACTTTAATCATTACAGGGGTACTTGTTGTAAATTTTGTACTGCCACTTGAACTTGTGACACCTGAATGGAGAACATTTTGTGGTTGTATAGGCCTGTGGGCTGTTGGACTTATGGCACTTGCAGGCTGGGGATATTTTATACAAGACTGGCAATATCTGGTCATATGTACATCAACAGCTAGTATGTTTATACTATTATCTTGGTGGTAAGTTATTAGTTTTATTTGTACATCAACAACTTCTTTAATGGTGTCAAGTCACCATGTTATATGTAATTCAACTTATTGTATGTTTATACTGTTAACATGGTGTTAAGTCACTAGTGATATATATGCATCATTAGTTTGTGTGTTTCCTAAAACACAAGTGTCAAGTCACTATTGTTATATGTACATCAGCGTCTTGAATGTTTATTGTATAACATGGTGTCAAGTCACCAGTGTTATATGTACATCTGTTATCATAGTGATAAGTCATAAGTGTTCTACATTGTATGTACACAAAACTGCTATGTTTATACTGTTATCACGTTGTATCTGTCAAACTTATTTGATAAGTCTATAATGGGATGTTGCCTTTTAATCCGAGGCTAAGCTGTAAATGTTCTAAAACAGAACACTTCTTGAAAACTTTCTTTAAAACTCAATTTGTAATTTTCTACTTAAAGTGTACTTTTAAGTCTGTAAATTTGTTAATTCAAATAATATTTATTTTCTTTTTTCCCACTGTATCAAAGGTTTGTACCAGAAAGTCCAAGATGGCTTCTGAGTAGGGGAAGGGTAAAGAAAGCTGAGAGAATTTTGACAAATATGGCAAAATACAACAATAAACCAGTGCCTGATTTTAGTAAACTAAGACAGTATTCTGAGGTATGAATTTTCAAAATGAAACTTTAATAAATTGTCATTTTAGAAGTACCATGATCTAGAACTAAAAGTCTTGGAGAATTTGCTCATCAGATAATACAGATAAGTTTTATCCAGCAATGCACATATTTTATGGCACATTACAGTTAAGTTTTATCCAGTAAAACATATATTTTATGGCACATTACAGTAATTTTTATCCGGTTATACATGTATTTTATGGCATATTACAGATAAGTTTTATCTGGTTATATATGTATTTTATGGCATATTACAGATAAGTTTTATCTGGTTATATATGTATTTTATGGTATGTTACAGATAAGTTATATCTGGTATTTTATGGCACGTTACAGGCAGGTTTTATCAGGTAATACAGGTATTTTATTACTGTTAATTTATATTACAGAATGAAATGCAGATGAAGCAGCATCAGATAAAATACAGTTACTGGCATCTTTGTAGCTCATGGAAACTTGCAAAAAACTCTCTTATACTTTTATATGGCTGGTAAGATATCTAGTTCTTTTTCTAAAACTGACAGACATGATTCTTTTCTAGGTATTTATATTAGAGAAATGGCATGGCTTTTGCCGAGTGGTTCAAACATCAGACTAGTAATCTAAGGATTGACAGCCACATGGATTTAAACTTTGCACTTATTGCTTGGTGATGGTTGGTTACAGTTCTGTTTCAAGACTGTTTCAATAAGCATATAGCTTCCTATACAATCAAACTAAAACAAATTTGTATAAACTGATCTAAGTATTTATATATGTGTTATTGCCTTTTGTGACTTTCATACTTAATTTTTGTTGAAAAAATAACGCTAAGTCAGTATGATACATATCAAACTTCATAATACCTTACTATCAAAGTGACTTGTCCAGAACTGGCAGTTCTAGTTGCTAGCTTGACTAGTCGAAGAATAGGGAGAGCTACTGTACTCACCCAGGTGTCGGCATCACACTTTGGTTAACTTTTTGTATTAAAATAGTTATCTCCCAAAATGACTGAAGAGAATGGTTTGATTTGAGAGCATATTAGGAGGTCACAAGCCAAGACCTATAAGTCTAATATGGATATTGGCAGAATTATGGACCTTTTTTTTACATAGAAAATTTCATCAATATCCAGGCTTTTGTTTTACTATCAAACCCTGAGAATAGTCGAGCATGCTCTCCTGCCAACAGTTTTTGCTTTTAATGAATGATAAATTTCATGAAGGGATATGCAATGTCAATGTTGATATTCTGAAACATTATAAAGTATGGTAACTAAATTGTTATGAAGGATCTACCAAAATACATTCCAATGTTGTTGTTTTTTTCAGGTTTGTGTCAAGTGCTGTATACTATGGTATGAATTTCAACACAAAGAACTTAACTGGGAACCTGTATTTAAATATATTTTTTTCTGGTCTGGTGGAAATTCCAGCATTATTTTTTGTTGTTCTAGTCCATAACAAATTTGGGCGTCGTTTGACAGTCTCTTTATTGATGAATGTAGCTGGTGTGTTCTCATTTGCCATTCTCATCTTAGATTTAGCAGGTACAGTACACACATATATCTGATTCTTAGTTATAATATAATGGTTTTATTGTTAAATGAAATCTTATCTTGTAAACTTTATTCTCCACCTCTTTTTCCATGACTTTCATGTTTACTTACTTTTAAGAGGTCCTGCCAACATACAATAAATTAAATGCTCTTTGAAGCTATTATCTAAGAATCGGTCCAAACTTAATTTGAAGCATTGTAGAACAGTTCTTCCTGAAAATGAAAATGTTTTTGCTGTTTGGTGTCCGTATATAAGAATGAACAAAGTAAACTGTAGACTGTAGATTAAACTATATCACATTTATTGTTAATTTGTTATATATTTTGTTCAGGTGGTTTAGATGAATATCCTAAATTGACCATAGTTTTTGCCATGATTGGTAAGGCAGGAATATCTGGAGGCTGGGCAGCACTTCAAGTTTTCTCAGCAGAAATTTTCCCGACAGTTGTAAGGTAAATAAAAGTGTTGGTCTTTTCTTTTTAGCCGAATGAGCTATTATGATAACATTGTGTCTGTTGTTAATATTTTATTTAAACAATATCTCCTTTTAAACCCCCAGAAGTGATGAAACTACATGTATACAGAAATGCACTTCAGCTGGTCCTATGTGAAAATGCTCAACTTATTATGGTTTGCTAAAGATGGTGGCAAGAGCTTAAAATAGAAATACCTTTAATTTATTTGGTCTGAGCTCCAATTATAACCATTGTCTGTATCTTTAATTATACAACATGTGTCAAAAATAAGAGTAGATATAAGAGTAGTCATCTTACATCATATCGTGATCAACCTGTCTTGGTGGCCTAATTAAACTAACTTGGCATGCAGAAAAATTCTTGATATTATGGTTGATACTACTTGTTTTCACTGTTTCCTGATTTATTTGATAGAAAATCAGATGTACATCATCTTCTAAGTGTGAAACTGCAATTCCCAAAGCTTAGATGGGACGTCCGTGGCCGAGTGGTTAAGGTCGTTGACTTCAAACCACTTGCCCCTCACCGCTGTGGGTTCGAATCCTGACAGGGACTTTGGATTCTTTCATGTGAGGAAGCTATCCAGCTAGCTTACGGAACGTCGGTGGTTCTACTCAGGTGCCCGTTTGTGCAGTAAAAGCTAGAACGTCGCAATATGACCTATACTGTGTCGATGTGACGTAAAACTATAAAAAAACAAACAAAGCTTAGATATTTGGCATGCAGCATTGCCAACTTGACTTCTACAAAAAACACATAAATCATATATATATTTCAGAAACATAGGTGTAGGAGCATGTTCATTTTGTGCTAGAATTGGTGCCATTGTAGCTCCACAAATTGTTTATTTGGTAAGTTGTTTGTTAAATAAATTGCTTAATTGGTTGGTAAGTTGCATATTTCATAAGTTAATATTTTGATGAAAGTCGTTTATTAAGAAAGTTGAATATTTGGAAAGTTGTTGTTTTTATTTTGAAAGTTGTTTATCAACTTATTTGTTTAAATTGTTAAATGTTTATAACTGACATGATGAGCATAGCATTCAAAAAATTATCCACTTTAGTTTATTTTCAGCACTTATTACAGTATAACTAAAACATCAAAATCTCAAACACATATGCAGGTATTGGCAATGACCATTCTATTAAATCATACTACAAACCATGAACTCTTGAAAACTATAATTTTTCGATGATTGACATGTGTCATACAATTAAGCATTTGAAAATATAATTCAAACACTCCTTGTGATTTTGTCACTACAGACAAAGAAGGAAAAAACTGTGTTAAACTGCCAATAAACACTGGTTAGGTTTTGCTGCTAAAAAATTGACCACTCTGGCTTTCAAAACCTTTTTTGGGGGAATTTCCTTTAAACAAACAAAAAATCCCCCAAACGGTGTTAAAAAAGCTGATAAACACCGCTTTTAACAGATAT